CACCCTGAAGATATTCTCACTTGAAGTCTCACTGCTCTGTCACTTCAAGTTTTAAAATACTTGCCACTACATCTTTCTCTTAGCTTCCCAACAGCTCTCAAGTTTTTCCTTTCTATCACTACTGCTTTGGTCTCTGATGCTAAAATTCTCTTACTTACCATGACTTGAAACCATGGAGTCACTTCAATCTATTTATTGTCTTCCTAGAATCATGGTATAACTGCAAAACACTAACTTTAGAATTAATCTGTTTCCAGCCCACTTCCAATTTCTCAACTGTAAAATAAGATAATCAGTTCCATCCCCCTGCTAATTCAGTGAGACTCTAACCTTCTCCACTATGGAAGTTTGGTTCTAATACTGTTTGTGATGAGGCTGCCCTGTGCATTATAGACTGTTCAGTAGCACCCTGCTCTTTACCCATTACATGTCATTACAACCCTCCTAGTCATGACAATCAAAATTGTCTTCAAGCACCGCCAAACATCCCCATGAGGTCAGAGGAAGACTGGGGGGAGCCACAGTATCTCAGTGTCTAGATGCTTCAGACATTACTTGAGGTGATAAACAAAAGTGGCTGTTGCAGTTCTTGACTTGGGTCACCATTTGCAGAATAAGGATGTGCGTGCAGTCATGCATTTCTGTCAAGGTGAGGTGTTCTCTGAAAAATTTAGGTGGACATCTAAAGAACATTTTAAGGACCAGATTAAATTATATAGTCCTGAATTACAGGTTAGCAAATATTTTGTTGGCATTTAAACAACACTAAAAGAAATGTCTTATATTCTCCTGCTATGGTTTGAATGTCAAATGTCCCCCATAAGGCAAGTGTGTTTGAACACTTGGTCCCCAGCTGGTGGTGCTGTTTGGAAGAGTTGTGAAACCTTTAGGAAGCAGAGACTTGCTGGAGGAAGTGGGTCACTGGGGAGGGGACTTGAGGCTTTATAGGTCAGTCACATTTCCTGTTCACTCTCTGCTTCCTGACATAATGTCACTAGCCAACTTCCTGCTCCAGCCCCCATTCCTTCCCTGTCTGGTGCCATGCCTTCCCAGTCACGACGGACTGCACCTTCCAGAAACTGGAAGTGAAAACACATCTTTATTAAGTTGCTTTTGTCAAAGTATTTTATCATAGCATTCTTTCTATCAGAAACTGTTGTTCTCTCTCTCTTCTCTCTGTCTCTCTGTCTCTGTGTGTATCTCTCTCTATTTCTCTCTCCTTTCCTCTTTCCCCCATCTCTTCCCCTCTGTTTTGATTTTGTTTTGTGAGACAAGCTCTCACTGTATATCTATCCTTGAACTCATAATCCTCCTGCCTCAGCTTCCTGAGTGTTGGGATTATAGACATGGTCATCACACCAGCTGTTTTCCATTGTTGCTTCATTGAACTGCCATTCGTTTTCTCGTCAGCAAAGTGTTCCCTTCACCCTTCATTGCCGCGTTCCTGAACTGTTGCCTTTGTCAAGGCCTTCTTTTACTTTTCTGTTTCTTTCTCTTCTTTTTTCCTTCCCTCATTCCTTCCTTCCCTTCCCTCCCACCCTCCCCTTTCTTTCAACCTAGGGCATGAGCACCCATATCCGCAGTCATGTCATCCTGGCACAACCTTCTCGTTCTGTGAGATCACCAGGCACCATCTCTCTCCCATATTCTTTACATGCCTAGGGATGACCTCTTCTTTTGCCTATGGAGATCTGACAACATCCTTTAAGGTTCAATTCAAATCTCAACTTCTGTTGATGACTGTAACTTCCTTTGAAAGCCATAAGAAAAAAAAAGTAATGGTTAGAGAGAGGAATGGATAAGTAGTTATGAAATAAATTACATTTAATAAGATATCAATGTAGACTTTTTGTAACAACATATAGGTATTCACAATATAATTATTTTAATTTTTCTGTGTTTCAAATTGTCATGGTAAAGTCAAACAGTAAAATAAAAATGATGAAAGTGATAATAAACTAAAATAAAAATAACCACCCTAATTTCTCCACAAAATCCTCCCTCCAACTCTATCCACAATCATTAAGAAATCAAGTATAAGCTTCAGATAAATCTGAATTCAAGGCCCATCTCTACTGTTTGTTTGCTGGGTGACCTTGGGAAAGTTACCTAACATCTTGTAACTTTAGTTCCTTCATTAATTGACCTTCTTCATAAGATTGTTTTGAAGGCTAAATGGCAAATGTAAAATGCTTAGCACAGTAGCTGAAAGTTAGTACTAAATAAATGTTAGTTAATAATAAGCTCAAACATTCCCCCTTTGTATTCCCAGAACATAAGATACTTGGTGGGAGAAAACTTCTAAGTTACCATTTGCCAAGTGTCTACAGAGTAGAAATTTAATTAAACTCCATAGAATAAGTTATACACATGAATGCTAGTTATGGATCACCTTTATGGATCATTTCTCTTTCTGCCCTGTAAATCCACTCAGTATTTATGAAGCAGCTACTATGCACACTATCAACAGTTCTGCCTAGAGCCATGACAGGCCCACTCCTAGCCCAATTCCTTACCAGCAGAATTGGCAATTTCAAGCTTGAACTGCTGTGTAGTTTCAGAATTCTTAGACAAAACTAAGACCCTTTTGAAAATATATCTAGACTTGAAATATGTTTTGTATATAAAATAGGAAACATGGGGCTGGAGAGATGGCTCCATGGTTAAGAGCACCAGCTGCTCTTACAGAAGACCCAGGTTTAAATCCTAGCACCCACAGGGCAGCTAACAACCACCCGAAACTCCATGTCTAGGAGATCTGATGCCCTCTTCTGTCCTCCACAGGCACTGCATGACACAGGGGTACTTGCATATACACATACGCATAAAATAAAAATAAAGCAAAACAAAAATATCCCACAAAAAAATTTTAAAAAGTGGAAAACATATTTGTACGTAGATTTTCTACCTAATCAAATGTGGAATATGGACGTAAAGAGGCATATTTCCCAAGGCCTGGCCCAGGAACTTTTGGACTTATTTCCTTGATCTCACTGATTCACACATATACACTGTGAGTGTTGTAACATTGGCTTTAGTTTTCCAGTTAGTATACTCAAAACTCTTTCAAGCTTCCATGCAATTTACTCCTTTTTTTTTCCTGAAGTATGTGTTTAGTTTTAACATTTTGAATCTGAAATTTTATTTTAATAAAATTATTTAATTTTCTTAATGCTAAGAGCAATCATTTGGAAAGAGAATCATGAGGCAAGTTGTTAATATTTGTTGTGTATGATGTTCCACACCTTCTTGCATATGTTACTTTATTCAACTTTCACCACGCCTGTTTTCCAATTAGAAAAAATGACTTCAAGAAGTTAAATTACTCAATATTGTGCAGCTAGTAAACAGTGCTGGTATGTGAAATTAGTCTCATTCTGGAGTAGATTGATTGCAAAGACAGCCAGAGATCTCTTCACCATCTCTGCTTCAGTGTCCTTTGCAATGTGTCTTTGTAGCTCCTCCCAACAAGAGATGTACCTGTTTCCACAACTTTTCATAGTGACCAATCCTGCAATTGTTTTAGCAAATAGGAAAGAGAAATGTCAGTGGGCCAGGTCTTAGTATGTCCCTTAACAACCATCCCTGTCTGGCTCCCTCCCAAATGCTACATCTTCTTGAGAACAAGCCTGGGCTGGCCTAATTGACCATGAGAGGACACATGAGGCCAGCTTTAGTCAGCCCAGTTGTTCCAAAGCCCAGACACTGAGTGAGTCCAGCCAAAATCAGCACAGCTGTTCTGCAGCAGACAGCAGGTGTACAAGTGAGCCCACCGAGACCAGCTCAGATCAACAGAACTGCCCAACCAACCACCTACTCACGTGTAAAACAAGTCACCACTAAGCTCCAGCTGTTTGCAGTACACCACCATTTAATCAACAGAGAGCTGACATAATCTCTCACAGCTTTCAGACCTTGAATATAGGAGAAAATGCAAGGAGAAAGCTTTTGCAAACAATCTATCAGAGGGGTTTCTTTCATTTATTTTCAATCTTTTTTTTATTACACTTGTTTATTTATTGGGGTGGGGGCATGTCAAGGTACAGGTGTGGGAGTCAAAGGACAACTTGCAGGAGTCAGTTCTCTCCTTCCTCCCCGTGGGTTCCAGGAATTGAACTCTAGTTGTCAAGTGTAGCAGCCAGGACCTTTACCCACTGAACCATCATACCAATCCCCTTTCATGTTTCTGTCACACTACTATATCCTTCTCAGTTACTCAGGAGGAAAACAGAACATCTTATGAGCAATATATTAGAAGAAAAGGGAAACTGTTTGCAGCTAATGAGCCAATTTAATGAGTGACTTAATTACAAACAGAGCTACAGTGTTTAGCTCTCCTTTTCTATAGCTAGTTAAATCCAGTGCAAACAAACCAGTCAATCTTCTAGAGCATCTAGTCTATTCAGGACCTTCAATGACATTTTAGGCATGGTTCCTGTCTTCAAGGAATGTACAATCTAAGTGGAAGTTTAAGTAGTCAGCAAATAAGAGAAGTTCAATGACAAAATATTTCAAGAAAAGCTTCAAATAAGAAAAGGAATATGATCATTTTGTTTCAGAAGAAAAAACTACCTGACGATTTTGATAAAAGAAGTCAGCACTCGCTGGAAGAATTTTAGAGATGAAAATGCTTGCGGGAGAAGCTCATAAGTTGGAGGCTGACTGGGAATATTTCAATAAGAAGGCAGGAAAACAGTCATCATTGGTGACACTGCCGGTGGTAATACTCACAGTGGGAAAGTGCAAGGTGTATTTGGTAGTGAGTAAATAAGTCAATTTGATGAGAACAGAGAAAAATCAATAGAACAAAGAGATGGACTAGATAGAGCCAGGGAGACGGGTGAAGCCAGCCAGGAGCATGTTGATCATTAACAGTCTGTGAACTGTTTAATATTGGACATGTGGAGCTTAGGAGAGAAGCAAAACATCCACCCAGTTGCTGGAAATTTAGGTCAGGGACCAAGGGGAAAAGTCCAGGTTAGAGGTATGGTTGGAAAATCTTCAGTGTCTGAGAAGTAAAATGAAGCCTTCAGAGCAACAGGGAAAGACTGGTCCTTGGGGAATGCCAGCAATGTATAGTGGGGGAGATAAGGAAGGTACGCAGCTGACAGCTAAGTAGGATGGGGCCAGAGACATGTGAGTTCCACATTGTGATAACCACATAGAGAAGGGAGAGGGCCATGCAGAAGCAGAGAGGAAACATTCATAAGGGAGAAGACTGAATGATAATGAGTCAGACCTACTCATAACAGAACCAGACGCCTTTTGTAAGTCTTTGAAAGAACAGATGTCTCCCACAGAACTACACATCTGCAAGCAACAGAAACAGTGGAGACTTATTAGACTAGTTTGGAAAATGGACACAGCCTGCTTTGTTTGAGACTAATTTACCCTTCCTGACTCTCTGTAGTGATCTTAATGAATTAATTAGTTTCTGTTTCACCTTTCTCAGGATAAAACCACTGCAAATAAATAAGGCACCCTGGGGCTGAGTGCAGCTCAGTGGTAGAGCACGAGTTTAGCACAGAGATCCCTGGGATCACTCCTAAGCATTCAGGTAAATGAACAATAGCCAAATCTCCTCTTAGTTTCTGTGCAATCAGCACATCTTAAGTGTTATATAAATTGCTCAGTCTTTTTTTAATTAAAAAAAGTATGGTTTTT